CTATTGCTATGAACTGACCCTTGAGTAATGCCTTAGCTACATCTCAAAGGTTTTGGTATGTTGTATCTTCATTTTCATTTGTTTCAAGGAACTTTTCAGAAAGACTGAAGGAAAATAAGTTAAAGTTTTAAGTTGCATTATCCTATGGGCAAAATAGTAAATGATACGGGAAGTATTTAACAGAGATGGAAGGGAAGCAGAGGTTCTGGTAGCCTAGTGGTAAGAAATTGTTCGGCCAACTCAAACACAAATGGTTCGAATCTTCCAGACAGCTGCTCTGTGGAAGAAAGATGGGCAGTCTCCTCCCAAGTGGTTCACTGCCTTTGAAAACCTGCTGGAGGCAGCAATGGGTTATTTTGGACTCAATGGTAGATAAGGACGACAACAACAATATACCAACAAGAATTGATTAGTACTCAACCATTTAATAAAATTTTCAGCCTATGATCAAGAACCAGTGGTAATGAAGGAAGAGTTCTAAGATGTACTGAAGACACTGATGAAAATAAGGCTCCAAGAATGAACAAAGTACCAGTTGTGATGTTTCAGCAAATAGGCTCATTGCTGGAAGCATTCACTGGAAGAGTTCCATACGTGTTCCTGATAAAAACAAAAGTGATCCAGTAGACTATGGAAATTATTGAATATCACAAGAAGATCCAGTGGTGTTATGCATTATGTATTGCATTATTAACCAGAATGTCAGCTCTTTGAATCCATCAGCTGCTTCTTGAGAGAAAGATGGGCAGTCTCCTCACATGAAGAGTTACAGCCTTGGAAACCCAATGGAGTCACTGTGAGTTGGAATCAACTCATTGCCAATGGGTGGATTAATATCACATGAAAATAAAACTTTATTGAATATATTTAAAAAGAATGCATGTTGGTTGAAAGCAGTGAATACCAGAAAGATGCTTATCTGTGCTTTGTTGACTATGTAAAGGCATTCGACTATGAATCATAACAAATTATGGCTAACTGTACAGTAGTCATTTGTTCATTATGACTTTTCTAGTCACTGTTGCTCTCATCACATGACTGAGGTTGTTGTTGTTATGTGCTCTTGAATCACCGTGACTCATAATGACCCTGTGTATAATAGCTCTGAACCCTGTCCTATCCTGAGCCAGTCTCACTGACTCTGACACACCTAATCCCATTGCCCCAGTTGCCAAGTCAATCCATCTCCTCTGGGGTCTTCCTCTCTTGCACTCTCCCTCCACCCTTCCAAGCATGATGTCCTTCTCCAAGGACTAGTCCCTCTTGGCCACATGCCCATAGTATGTGAAATGGAGCTTTAAAACTCTTGCCTCCAAGGCCAGTTTTCCTACATTCATGGTTCTCACATTCCACATTCCAGTTGCTGTCTGCTTACTCCTGTTCTCCAGCATTGTGTTTCCATATTTGAGGGCTCAGTCTCAATGGCAGTATCTGCTAGTCTACTCTTAAACCTACGCAAATAAGGTGTGTAGAATGCTAATGTAAGGATTGGTCAGTTTTTTCATTCCACAGCTTTTAGTTTGCTTGGCTGTCAACACTTTCAGCACTCTTGGTACCAGCAACCAGGAAATTAAAAGATGAATTGCATAGGGAAAGTCTGCTGTCAGAGACCTCTCCAAAGTACTGAAGAGCAATGATGTCAGTCTGGAGATTAAGGTGCCCCTGATCCAAGCCATAGTCTTTGCAATTACTTGCTATGCATCAGAAATCTGGACAATGACTAGGGATGATAGAAGGAGAATTGACGTGTTTGAGCCGTGGTGCTGGTGAAGAGTATTGAATATACTATGGACTGCTAGGAGAACAAATAGTTTTGTCCTGGAGAGGGTAAAATAAGGCTGCTCCATGGAGGCAAAGGTTCTGAAGCTTTGTCTGACATATTTCAACATGCTATCAGGAGGGACCAATCCTTGCAGAGGGACATCATGCTTGGGAGGGTGGAGGGAAAGCGCAGCAGAGGAAGACCCTCATTGAGATGGATTGATTCAGTAACTGGGGTAATGAGGGTAAGTATGTCAGAGACAATAAGATTGGTAGAGGATAGAGGAAGATTTAGGGCTGTTGTACATAGGGTCACTATGAGTCACAAGTGTCTAGAGGGCACATAACAACAACAACAAAAACGGGCTTAAATTGAGGAGACTCAGAAGGAGAAAAGGGAGGAATCTTGCTACTGTCAAGGAGAACAAACTAGAGAATACAATATATTCTTTGCACCTCAGATCTCTTCAGAAACCAGTGAGGAAGAGGTGTGGCACTGAGGAGATGGCATGTGAGACCAACATGTGGTGGCTGCCCAGGTGGAAGTCCAGATAGCAGCACTGGTGGGGCAGCAGAAGTGGGAGAGGACTAGAGACTGGTTTGAGATAGAACTGAGCTAGGTCTAGGTCTGTTGACTCATGGAGATAGAGCTGAGCACCTTTAGGCCTGGGCTTCCTGGCAGAATGGGGGTGGCACATAAATGGCAGAGCTAAAAGAGCTTTGGAACCCTTGCTTCTACAGAGCAAAGACCTGCCTTCTAGCACACTTGAAGAAGCTTCCTTGACTGAAGAATTGTGTCCTGTGTGTTTCCATTCTGAGCTGTAACCTGTCATTTCCCCAGTGTGTGGGCAATGCAATGAATTATTGAAGCCAGTGGTTGAGTAGTGAGAGCAATGGGAGGAATGGGTGATATAAGAATCATTAAGGAACATGTGGAGCGTGGATGGCATGTCTGAACTCACGCCTGTCTGTGTGTTGTTGATTTTGCTGATGAAGATCCTTCCCTCTTGTGAAGTTATTGAAAGTCATTTCCATGCTGCTACAACTGGTTTTGCTAGTAACATTCTAAAGAATGGGAGTTCCCATTCCATTAATTTTGTTCTTGTGGAGCCTGGACATAGATTAAAAGGCAGTCCTTTAAACAGTCACATGGTGATCCTGCAAGGCGCAAAATTTAAAAAGTTGTGCTGCATCACTCAATCTGAATCAGAATTCATAATCCGAGGAGGTAGACTGCATGAAGAATGCCACATCAGGACTGCAAGAAGGTTCATGAGCAGTGTACTTTATACAGATAACATGCCTTTCTCACTGACTGTGAAGAGTGTTTGAAGCACCTACTGATGAAGTTCAGAGACGATCAGCCTCAGTAAGGATTGTGCCTCAATATAAAGAAAACAAAAATCCTCACAATTGGATCAATGAGAAACATCGTGATACAAAGAGAAGAAATTGAAATCATCAGGGATTTCATTTTACTTCAATCCACAATTGATATGCATGGAAATAATGGTTTAAAAAAAATCCAATGATGTATTACATTGGGTAAATCAGATTTATAAGAGACCTCTTCAGTGTGTTAAAAAAGCAAAGATTTGAGGACTATGGTGTGTGCTACCCCAGCCATGGTATTTAATTTACCTCCTGTACATAGTAAAGCAAGATAATAAATAAGGAAGACTAAAGAAAAATTGAGGCCTTTGAAATATGACGCTAGTGAAGAATATTGACTCTACCCTGGACTTCCAGAAGAAGGAACAGATGCGTCTTGCAGGAAGTCCTGCCGGAATTCCTCTCACGTACTTAAGACATGTCGTCAAGAGACCAGTCACGCCTGAGAAAGTTAAGGGTCAGCAAAGGCAAGGAAGGGGATGAACTGACACAGTTACAAAAATGGACTGAAGCCCAGCGGAGACTGTATGGATGGCACAGGATCAGAGAGAGATTCATTCTGCTGTGCATTGGGTTGCTAGGAGTCAGAGTTAACTTCATGGCACCCAATAACAACAACAAAAACAACCACAACAACAGTGCCTGGAGAAGGACAGCATGCTTGGTAAGCAAGAGGACCGGAAAAAGAGGGAGACTCTCAAAACAGTGGCTGCTACGATGGACTGAGCCAAGTGGTGAGGTCTGGCCCAGGCCTGAGAAGTGTGCCATTCTATTGAATATTCACATGCTAGGAGTCAGAACTGAGTGGGCAGCATCTGCCAACGGGAAGGGTTGAGAATGCGGGGTTAGGGGTATTAAGGGTGATTAGTTTTAAATCAGAGAGGTGACATTGGACTGGATTGGTAAGGTGACATTTGAGAATTGACTTACAGGGGCCAAAGGAGAGGACCACACAGCGAACTGGGGAAAGAGTGTAACAGAGAACAGTGCAAAGAGCACTGCCAGCTGTGAGTGTCACACGTGCCCACTGTGTTGGAGGAACAGAGGGGGTCCAGTGTGGCTGGAGCAGAGTTGTTGTTAAGTGCCATCGAGTCGCAGGCGACTCATAGCGACCCTATGAAGGAGAGTCCTCGACGCTTGGATGCTTTTCTTCCTCTTTCCAGGTTCATAGGGTTTCCGGAGGCAAGCTGTTATGGAAGTGGATGTCACTCTTCCTTCCAAGCTTGTTTTAATCGGGGAGCTCCACCCGACTCTCTGGGCTGGAGGGAGAGAGGGAGAATATTTGGCAGGGAGGTCAGGCAGGTAGGGAATCAGGTCATGGGACATCTTGTAGGCCGTTGCAAAGATGCTGAGTGCTATGAAAATACAAAGGAAGGCGTTTTCAACAGTGAACGACTGGAAACCCTAAGTCTCTGTAAACTTTCATTAAGATTAATTTTTTTTTAAAAAGGAAGGTGTTTTGCTGCTCCTTTGACTTAGGTGATGGTCTTAAAGGACTCAGAGCATGACAGTTTTAGTGACTGGCACAGAGCCTGGAGAGGAAGGGACATGTTGATTTCACTCAAAGAGTATTTCCTTAGGGAGCACTGGTGACTTCATGCTAACAAGTTGTACTGTCAACCCAATGAATATTTATTTTCCTTCATCCATCATTCAGGACTGAGGGAAACCATGGTAGGCAGAGGGAGAAGTAGGCTTGGGGTGGAAGTGTGTGCCTGAATGACTTAAAGGTGCCCTTTAACGGGAAGAGCAGTTCGGACAGGCCGTGGCCATTGCTGGGTGTGGGCCAGGTGTAGGGGGAACATGACCCGCCGATGCTTGGACTCAGGGGTGCTTTGTGCCTGTAGAACCAGTCTTCAGTACGGCATCATGTGTCTGAAGAGGCTGAACTACGACCGGAAGGAGCTGGAGAAGAGGCGGGAGGAGAGCCAGCACGAGATCAAGGGTAAGCTGCTCACTTCTTGGAAAGGGGCCAAGGGCCTTCTTGGAGGCCAGGGCCTGCCCACTTACCCCTGCCCTGACTGAGCAGAGACAGAGGCATTCTGTATGTCAGGGACGTTCCCAAGCAGAGGGAAGATACTGCCCCAGCCTTAGGGAGCTTCAGTCTACGGGGAAGACATCGCCCACGCTCAGGGTATGCTGCCGTGTGAGGGAGACAATCCAGCCACTACCCGTTAGCTGGAACTCTCTTCCCCTCCTCCACAAAGCAGAAGGTGCCTGTCATCTGGACAAATGCAGTGATCCCCCTGGCCCATGCTAACAGACTGTGAGATGAGCCCATAGAAGCTGCATGAGGCAGGGAAGTCTTAGTGAGAGGCAGGCAAGGCAGAAAGAGTAAGAAGGGCGCTCTTCTAGCTGAAGGGAGTTCTGGTGGCTTAGTGGAAAGGACGTGTGCTGCTAACCTAAAGGTACATGGTCTGAGTCCACCAGCTGCTCCTTGGGAGAAAGATGGACAGTCTACTTCCATGGGATTTACTGCCTTTGGAAAACTGCTGGAGGGTCAGCTATGGGTTGATTCTGACTCATTAACAACAACATCATCATCCTGACCTATGGGGCAGGGAGATGACCTAGGCAGGGGCTTTGCAGTAAGAGCCACCCAGAAGCCACAGGTCAGCAGGGCGGGGCTGAACTGAAATAGGGGTGGGGGTCCTCCAGGAGCTCCAGGCGCCACAGAAAATAGAAAGTGTAGGAATCAAATCAGGGCACACTGGGGCTCTGAGTCGAGCTAGCATAATTTCACTGTCCCTAGAAAGGCCTTGACTAACCTGTCATCTAGTTTTACTTTCTTTCCTCCCCCTCACCTTCCAGATGTGCTGGTCTGGACCAACGACCAGGTGGTTCACTGGGTCCAGTCCATTGGGCTTCGGGACTATGCAGGAAACCTGCATGAGAGTGGCGTGCATGGTGCCCTGCTGGCCTTGGATGAGAACTTCGACCATAACACACTGGCCCTGGTCCTCCAGATCCCCACACAGAACACCCAGGTGGGCCTGCTTGTGACTGATTCCGGCAGTCTCTCTGTCCTGCTTCCTTTTCTCTCCCCTCCTCCTAGCGATTTGTAGGAGCTTTCTGAAACCTGAAACCTGTACCAGAGGAGATCACAGTGTCCTCAGACCCCTCAAAGTGACCCTTTTGCATAGCTGAGGACCTAACATGCAGAGCCCGGTGGCACAGTGTTAGCCCACACACTTGCCATGTGCATCACTGTCTCCTCCCACTCTTCTTGGAGAACTAGCCTTGGGCCTGGAGCTGATCAGAGAGCCCATGTCTCCTTAGTCTGCTACCCTGAGGACATGTTCCTGGACCCCCAAGACTTGAGAGAGCTGAGTAGATGAAATAACAGCTCAGGTCCTCTCCACATCACAACTTTGTCTCCCTGTCAGCTGTATGCAAGATTAGATGTCTTCTTAACTGACATTCATGATTATTACAGAGCCGTCATCTGAGAATATCGAAATTCTCCTATTGAACCTCTTTCTATTTTTGGCCTTTCTAACTTCCTGTGGGTAATGGATTCTGCAAGTGCAGTACCTTTTGTGGAAAGCACTTCCGGATTGTATTTGTCCTGACTGTCCCCCAGGGAACTAACTACCTCATTCTAATATGCTAGGTTCTGGTGGGGGGCGTGTTTGTAATGGAGGAATTCTCACCTTTTGTGATTCTATAACCTCATTGTGCTGCTTCTGCCCCCCAGCCTTGATCTCTCCAGACAGAGGGGCCTTAATTCCTTTAGTCCTTTCCTCATATAGACTCGCCTCCATCCCATGATCCTTTTAGCTGCCCTTGTCTGGACTGTTTGCAGCTGTCAGGTCTCTTGAAATTCAGCCATCAGAATGGCCTGGCCTATTCTGGGAGCAGATGTGTTTTGGCTTGTGTTAGGGTTAGGGTTGTATTATCTGTAGTGCTGGGAACTGTGTTGGTTTTTTGGAGGTGATGGCAGCACACTGCCACGTGTCCCCTAGGTTCTCTCCAGGGGCCCTTCCTGACTGGAGAGCACTGATCCCCTCATTCTTTAACAAGAGTTTAGATTTTTCCCCCAAGTGAACTTTCTCTCCACTTGTATAGGGACCTCAAACCTCACCTGCCAGCTTCCTCCTCACTCAGAGCTTTCTTTCTAAAGTTCATTCATGCTGTCTTCACCTTCCACTACCCAGAGGAGCAGTGTCAGCTGGATACATGAAAACTGTGTTCCTGTTCCCCTTTTTCAGATGTTTACAATGTAGTAGCAGGTTCTTAACAATGACAAAGCTTGCCATTAAGGAGCCCAGTGGTGCATCTCGTCCACATAGAAACGGGCCTGTTTGTCCTCTCGTTTCTTCTCTTTGAATGCATTCAGTTTTGCAGACAGCAGTAAATCTATCAACACTAGCAAGGACACTTCTCTGTCACTTTCTGCCTTTTTTTTTCCTTCCTGAGCCTTCATTAATACTTAGCTATTTGGGGAATCAGTATATGTCCAGTATGGAATCTTTTATTAAAGGTGGTTAAAAGACCTCATAGGGAGCTCTGTGGTTTAGTGGTAAACAATTGTGCACCGACACAAGGTTCCAAGGCAGTGATACACACAACAAACTATCGCTTAGCCTTTTTGAAAACTGTTTCTAGCATTTCCCAAAATTCTGAGTAAGTTAAACATTCAAAAGGCTTAGAATATGACTCAGGTCAGGAGTCCCCAGTATCCCTGACTGCACAGTCTTCCAGATGTAAATTTTTGGAGTAGTAGAACGTTAAGTTTGAGTTTTCTTTCTGTGGTCTCTTGTGCTTATTTTGGTATATTAGTTATCTTGTTGTTGTTATTGTTGTGTATCAACAAATTGCCACCACACTCATAACCGACCTTCCAGTGGGTTTTCAGAGGCAGTAAATCACATGGGAGGAGACTGCCCATCTTTCTTCCGTGGAGCAGCTGGGGGATTCGAACCACATACCTTTAGGGTTGTTGGCAGCACAGCTCCTTACTGCTAAGCCAAATACCACAAATGGATGCCTTCTACAAACAAAATTTATTCTTTCAAAGTTCAGGAGGCTAGAAGTTCAAGTACAAGGCTTTAGCTCTTGGAGAAGGTTTTCTCTCTGTTGGCTTTAGGGGAAGGTCCTTGTCTCCTTTCACTGTACATCCACATCACTGGGAGATCTAGAGAAATGTGTGGCATTATTCTTCCCCCGGGTCTAGGTCGTTTCCAGCACAGTGACCCCAGGTCCTAAGAATGTGCCTGACTCTGGGCTCTTTCTTGGTGGTAGTTATGTCCCTTCCTCTCTGCTTGCTTCTATCTCTTGTAAGCAAAAAGGTGACACAGGCCACACTCCAAAGAAACTGCTCTTACATCTTATCAGGACTGTGACCTGAGTAAACTGGTTGCCTCCAGTCTTAATCCTATTATACGTAATTGGCTGGTCATATCATGGGAGATGATCATGTTATTGCATAACTGCCAAACCATTGAGAATCCTTGCCCAGCCAAGCTGACACTTGTCTTTGGGAAACACATTTTAATCCATGAAACTCCACTCTTTGGTCCCCTAAATTCCTGTAGTTGCCACATGCAAAACACTTTCATCCTGTCATATTACATCAGATCTCTTAAACCGGCACAAAGTAGGTATTTCCATTACCACCAGGAGAAGTTAGAAGGAAAGGAGGAACAGTGGCAATATGCAAGTTAATAACAAAACAGAAAACCAGCAAGAACATGGCTAAATTTACATTAGCTTTCAGGGCTTGAAAAGAATCCTCTGTTCTCTGAGACCATCTCAGCAGGGTTGGTCATGCTGCCTGGATTCTGGGCAGACTGTCCTTTGCTTTGGGCTTCAGCTTTGCCTTCCTGTCAGTCTGAGACAGCAGCTCTGCTTCTTGAATGCTGGTGACTTCATTCTCTTAGTCTAATTGAGTGGTGACCCCACCCACTTGGTCCCCACAGACTCCATTCTTCCCTTTGGGTGTGGTATTAATTTCCCCTCTGCTCTGGACAGTGGTTACAACCTCATCCCCCTGGCACTTGTAAACAGCAGTTCTGAAACCTAGGGGGGCTAAGCCACACCATGTGAGACCCACCAGGCTGGATCCCACCCTTGAAGACCCCAGAGGCCCAGAGACTGTGTCCCTACCCTTTGAGGAGGAGACAGCTTTGCTTCCTGTGCTCCCTGGCTCTTCAGCTTCCTGGTTCCTTTGTCTCTCAGCCCCTTCGGCCTTTTGAGCTGGCCTGGCCTCTGCCCTGTGCTGGCAAGTGTTAGAACACACTGGCCTTGGTAGTGTGGTATATACTGTGTCAGGCTGCTAACCAAAAGGTCCGCATTTTGAACACGTTAACTAGTTGCTTTCTCCCATAGAGATTTACAGCCTCAAAAACCCAATGAAGTGTTGCTTTGAGTCAGAATCAGTGACGGTGGCTTTGTTTTGTATAAGTGCCCAGAGGCACTGTACTCTGCAGGAAACCTTCTGCCCAGAGACAGGCACTCACCTCTCTCCCTCTGAGTTCAGTCCGGCTCTCCTGACAAGTGCCTGGAATAAACTCACTTTGCTAGGAAGCCTCCCGCCTGAAAGTCCTTGGCTCCTGTACCATCTTGTACCAGCCTCTTGGTCCTGCTACCATTGTTTCTCAGCTGCTGCTGCTTGTGTGTGCTATCTCTGGTATTACACATCTTTTCACTTCCTTCTGAGCCCTCATCAGAATTGCCTCTGTCTTTAATTCTACCAATAGACTCTTCATGCTAATCTGTTGTTGTTAAGTGTTGTGACTACAACTCCTAGCAACCCTATGAACAACAGAGCTGAACTCTCCCCTATGCTGTGCCCTCCTCACCGTCTCTGATAGACTTGAGCCCATTGTTCAGTCACTGAGTCACTTCATTTTGTTGAGGGTCTTCCTTTCTTACGTTGACCCTCTCCACATTTCCAAGCATGATGCCCTTTTCCAAGGACTAGCTTCTCCTAACAACATTCCCAAAGAATATGAAATGAAGCTTCCCCATCCTTGTCTCCCTGCACTCCCAGCACTCTGGCTGCACTTTCTCCAAGACTTACTTGTTTGTTCTTTTGGAAATCCATGGCATATTTAGAACTCTTCTCCAATTCCATAACTCAGGGGCTTTGATTCTTCTTCTGTCATACTTGGTCACTGTCCAGTTTTCCAGTGCATAGCCAATAACTGAAAAGACCATGGCATGGATCAGATGCACTGAAGTCTTTAAAATGACATCACTGTTCTCCAGGACTTTGGAGAAGTCTTTGACAGCAGATTTTTTCCAACGCAATACATTTTTTGATTCTTGACTGCCAGTACCAATTAAGTATTTCAGCAAAGTGTTTCAGGTTTCAGTGAAGCTTCCAGATTAGGACAGATTAAGAAGCAGGATTGGCCATCCACTTCAGAGACAACAGCGGGCCTTTGCAAACCCTATGAACAAGACAATCTAAGCTTCTATTATTAGACACATCAAAACTCTTCCAGCTTTTACTCATCACCCAGTTCTAAAACTACTTCCACATGGACAGCAGCATCCACTTCTTTCTGGTATTTCTGCTGTATACTTTTGTTATATAGGCCTGCTATTACAAAATTATAAATGAATGGCATTAATAAACTTAGAGATGGTAAGGCATGATTTTTCCTTGGGGACAAAATGTGTTTTTCTTTCCAGTAGATAGATCCAGGTTTTTACTTATGTTCTGTGATCCTACTTTTAAAAAAATTGTCTATTTTGGTAATTTGCTCCATATGAAAGACTCCTAAATTTATAGTTTCACTTCTAAGACACTGAGGTTTGATTGAAGAGTAATATCAGAAGGGTGTACTTCTCCCTAATGGGCTAAAAGCACCAAAGCCCTGCTCCGTTAATATCTTCCCTTAGAGCTCAAGGAAGCAAGTAAAAGGTGGCACAGACATCATAAACTATCGTCCCTCCACCTTTCTCTCTCTCATCCTATGACTGCAGGCACGCCAGGTGATGGAAAGAGAGTTCAACAACCTACTGGCCTTGGGCACAGACCGGAAACTGGATGACGTGAGTACCTTGCCCTGAATTAGAGGTCTTGGGGATATGGCCATGGTTTGGTTGAAGTTCTTGACTTCTGTTCTCCCTGAGATTACCTATCGGAAGTCAGTGGGGTAGAGGTGATGTCAGGGACTTGGCAGGGCCAGGCTGTTGTGCAGCACTGGACTGGGGAGAAGTCTTTATGAAATTCCTGAACAGCGGCTGAAGAGCCCTGTCTTTGTTACATAATGCTCCTCCTCAGGAGAAAGATGGACGATTTGCAGCCTCAGAAGCCCAATGAGAGAGCAGTAACAGAAATGCCATAAATATGTGGCTTTCATTAATAGAAATGCACTGTCTCACAGTTTAGAAGGCTCAAAAAAAAGTGCTTTTTTTCTCTGTCCATTATGGGCAAAGGTCTATACCTCTTTAAGTTGCTTGGCATCTTCCTCTGTCTCTGCTTGCTTAAACTACTCTGTTTATATCTCAAGAGATTGTCTCAAAACACACCCTGTGCCAATACTACCTCATTAACATCACAAGGACCACCTCTTTTCAAATGAGATTATAATCACAGGTACGTGGTTATGTGTCATTCAATCGGCTATAACTCATAGTGATCCTGTGAACAACAGCCCTGAACCCTGGATTTACCTGTGCCATCCTCACCATCTCCAGCATACTAGAGCCCATTGTTATAGTCACTGTGTCACGCTATCTCTTTGAGGGTCTTCCTCTCCACTTTTCCAAGCATAATGTCTCTCTCCAAGACCCTCCTAACATGCTTTAAGTATGCGCAGTAAAGTTTCACTACCCTTGCCTGCAAGGAACACCCCGATTTCATTTTCTCAAGGGTAGAACTGTTTGTTCTCTTGATGGTCCACGGGATATTCAGTTGTTGTTGTTGTTATGTGCCGTCGAGTCGCTTGTGACTCATAGCGACCCTATGTACAACAGCCCTAAACTCTGCTCTGTCCTGTGCCAATCGCACTGTCTCTGACACTCCCATCCCGATTACCCCAGTCACTGAATCAATCCACCTCATAGAGGGCCTTCCCCTCCTGCGCTGTCCCTCCACCCTCCCAAGCATGTTGTTCTTCTCTAAGGACTGGTCCCTCCTTGCAACATGTCCAAAGTATGTCAGACGAAGCCTCAGAATCCTTGCCTCCAAAGAGCAGCCTGGTTTAACCCTCTCTAGGGTGAACCTGTTCATTTTCTTAGCAGTCCATGGTACATTCAATACTCTTCTCCAGCACCACAGTTCAAAGGCATCAGTTCTCCTTCTATCCTCCCTAGTCATCGTCCAACTCTCTGATGCATTAACAAGTGATAATGGGATATTCAGTGCTCTTCCTTAATACCACACGACTCAAAGGCATTGATCCATCTTCTATCATCCTTATTTGCTATCCAACTTTCAGATGCATAGCAAGCAGTTGAAAAGACCATGGCTTGGATCAGGCATATCTTGGTCTTAAATGGACAGGGTTAGGATTTACAACACCTATTTTGTGGGGGAATACAATTCAATCCAAAACAGCTCCTTTATGTTATACATCCAGTATCTCCCACCTCTGTGTCTCACTCACCTGACCACCCGGCATCAGAAGTTTCCCCTAAAGGCCATTATCTGTGTGATCATAACCTTTTATCTCTCAGACCCTCCAACCCCATCTCATCAGTGCTGTCAGCCTGCCCCTGGGACTCTAGCCCATCCTACAACAGGGTGGCTGTCTGTGGGAGAGGCTGTGCTCTGGTAGTTAAATGTCACTGCCCCTCAAGATGGATTTGGATAGGGCAAACACATGGCTCAAGATTTTATAATCATCCAGACATTTATCTTGCTTCTGCCTTCACATCAAAGTAGAGTTTTTTATTCCCTTTCTCTCAGCGTCCCTGCCATTTGACTTTGTCACCCTTCCCTGGAGTTCTGGTTGGCTTGTGTCTGGACACGTCCTGCCCACCCACACCCTCATGCTGCACTCACTGCTGTTTCCTGTGGATGAACCCCTCTTCGTCTTTGGCCTCTCCTCGCCAGTCCTCCTCCCTGCTCACGTTCCCATTCTAACATTGTCTGCCCTTGGTTGTCAGGCATGCCTTTGCTGACTTGGCTCCCAGAAAGTTAAAAAAGAACCCAGACTGTTTATTTTTAGCTTCTCCATCTTCATCTAGATCATTGTTTCCGGTCACCATTTTCTGTGCAGCTTCAACTTTCTCCACACCTCAGCCCCCACTGTCGCCTCTGTGTAGACTTCTAAGCCTTCCTCTATGACGCCATTAGTATAAGTGTTACCTGTTTTCCCAGAATTGATTTTAACATGTTGGAAACCCCATCATTTGTAGAACAATTGCTCTCTCTCACTCAGTAGACAGGGTGCTGTCTGGAAATATACACCATCTGTGGAGGTGTGCTTTCCTCACATACGAACCCTGAAGTTTGGGGGATGTTATGTATCAAAGATGTCAAACCCATGTGCAGTTGTTCACTACAGGTTACCTTGCATACCACTGTGGTTGCTTTGCTCACTGGGCAGTTTGCTTGTGTGGGGGCTATGTCCCTGTGTGTCCTTTGGCAGAGAACTGGCTGGCATTGGTGAAGGAGCAGACAGCAGAGGGCTGCTGGCAATGCCCCTGGGAGGAGCCTGTCTCTCATTGGTCACCTGTCTGAGCCACTGCTGTCATAGGTGGCTCTTACTTGATCCCATGAGGGAAAAGCAGCCTGAGATATAGGCCGTTGACCCTGTGAACAATAATTTTGAGCCCCGTCCTAGCCTGTGCCATCCTTATCATCTCTGACACACGTGGACCACAACAAGTTTTAGAATGTTACTACGGTATTTAACAGATAAGGAAATGGAAACTTGGAGAGGTCTCTTATCTTGGTAGATAAATGGCAAGGCTAGGGTAGGAGCCCACCTGACTCGTGAACACTCTTCTAGTATACAGGGCCTGTAGCCATACTGTGGCCCCAGAAAGGCAGGAAAGGGTTTATGGGGACCTGGCCAGGGGGCACATATCATGGTGTGAAGCTGAGAGGACAAACATCAGTGGGTATTCCAAGCCAGGTCTGTGAAGGTTGAAGTGGGCAGAGTTCAACTGTGAAGTGACAGGTCCACCTAGAGGCGACCCTCACTCCCCTTAAAGACAGAATTTCAGAGCATCTCGTGGTCTAGTGAGTAAGGAGATGTGCCATCAACTCAAAGGCAAGCAGTTTGAATTCACCAGCTCCTCTGCTGGAGAAAGATAGGCAGTTTCCTCCTGTGTGATTTACAGCCTCAGCAAACCTACAAGAGGGTCAGCTGTGGGTTGGTACTGACTTGAAAGCACATAAACACCACCACCACAAGAGCCCTCAGGAATCATTCATTCACTGTAGCCCCTTCATTCTACAGATGGAAAAAATCAAAGGCCAGGAAGGGAAAGGGACTTTACCCCTCTTTCCAAGGGAATGGGACTGATGTTCCTAGAACCAGCCAGGACTGCCATCCTTCCAGGCATGGAGTCAGGGTGGCAGTGCTACATGCCCCTCCGGCCTCTGCCTGTCCCCTCCGTGCAGGGGGACGACAAGGTGTTCCGTCGTGCGCCCTCCTGGAGGAAGCGCTTCCGGCCTCGGGACCACCACGGCGGTATGCTCAGCGCCTCCGCAGAGACCCTCCCCGCTGGCTTCCGCGTGTCCACGCTGGGACCCCTGCAGCCGCCTCAGGCCCCGCCAAAGAAGATCATGCCTGAAGGTGAGTGAGTGACAAGCTGGCCGGGCCCATGCGGAGGGCATCCCGGGATGCCCATGCCCTGGCATCCCGGGACCCGGCTGGAGGGCGGGGGGCGAGGCCGGAGGCTGGCTGCGCCCACCCCGCGGGCTGACGCTCCTCTAACGCGGCCCGGGCCCCGCGTGCGCGTGCGCGCACTAACCCGCCGCTCCTTGTTCTCCCGCGCTGCCGACGGCTCCCAGCCGGGACGGCGGGGGCGCAGAGACTGGAGACCTCCACGGTTCGGACCTACTCCTGCTGAACCCCCACCCTCCCGCCCCGGGTCTGACGGGGTGTGCCCGTGGCTCGGGGTAAGTGGGCCAGGCCCGGGGACGCTGGGCGCGCCTGCTGCCGGCCCTGTGCCCCCGCTCGGCCACCGCACCGGCCGCCTGCAGCCTCGCCCGCCGCCGCCTCCCTGCTGGCCTGGCTGCTCTCGCGCGCGCACTGGACAGCTTGCCCCCTCGCTGCTGCTGCTCGCCTTGCGCTTGGCGCTTTGTCACCGCTTGCATTTTTCGTCTCTCACGTGGACCACTTACCAACTCACCACACTCCGCCTGTCTCTCTCTTTCCTAGCTCACTCCCACTATCTCTACGGACACATGCTCTCCGCCTTCCGGGACTAGCCACGGCCCCCAGGGCCGGCTCCCTTCTTCTGGGCTTCGTGCCTCTGCCGGCCCTGACCCCTCCTGCTCGTTCCCCTTCCTCCCACGGCTCCTAGTCTCGTCTGTGACTTTCCAGTTGCCCTGGATCTCAGAATATTCTCGTCTACCCCCTCGACATCCCACTACCCTCAGGTCCACCCTGTGTCCTCTGTAAGTCTTTGGTGGGCTCGCCTGGGGCTGCCCACTGGGGTGGAGGTACCCAGGTTGACCATGCTTGGACTCCAGGGGAGGAGAGGACCTCTACCCCAAGGCGGTGTGACTCTGCCCTCTCTCTTCTGGGCTTTGCCTGGTCAGGACTTCGACCTCCACCAGGGACCAGGACCTGATGCCAAGAGCTGGGGCTGGCCTTTCCAAGAAAAGGACACCTCAGATTCTGCCCGTCTTGGGCTATTCTGCCTTCTGGGTCTCTGTCCACATCTTGGCTGTGCCGGATGGTTTGACATCTGGCTTGGTGTCCCCAGTATTATCCTTCCCCCAGCCCACCCACAACTGCAGCGCCGGCCTCCAGTATCTCCTCAGGGACCGAGAGGCAGAAGGTCACATTCTCCCTCAGGACAGTGAGGCTGGGGAGGAGATCCGAGGTAGAGGTACTGTGCTCTGGCTCAAGCTGACGCCCATGTATGAGTTTGGGAAGAATCAAAAGAAATGGGGCTCCAAGCTTGGAACCATGGGTGAGGATGGGGAAATCCTCAGCCCTCCTGACCCACTGAGATGTAATTACCCATGGAGAGTGATACCCAGTGAGATGTGTAGGCGGGCGGGCTGAAGGGAGAGAGCCAGTGCTTCAGGCAGCATTGAGCCCCAAGGGCAGTGGAATGGCCTGTGCCCCAGCTATAGGGAAGAGCTGCTGCTGGGTTAGGAGCGGGGAGAGCAGGTCTCATACTGCCAGCTGTGGTCCCAGCATCCTTTTCCTTGCTGTCCTCCACGGCCCTACTTCTTTAGTAATCCCAGCCCTTTAGAATAAATATGATGGATGCTTCAGATACACATTGATCTTATACTCAGGTCAGGGGAAGAGTCTGAGGCCTCCTTCCCCTGACCTCCCAGGAAGAAGAGTTCCCCTTCAGTGAATCATGTTACAGTTCAGTAAAGCCAGTGTTGGTGAGGGCAGTCCCTCACCTCTTGTTCAGGGCTCTTTAGGAGTTCAGGGATGGTCTCCTCCAGAAATTTTTGAGACCCTTTCAGTTTTTGTCATTCTAATTACTTTCCCCCCGCAGTGTGGTTGGAACCTGAACTGCAATCTACATGTCTTTGTTTGATAAGAATAAGAATTGCCAGGAAATCCCACTTTCTTACCCATTCCTTATCCTATCAAGGTGCCTCAAGGGACCCAAGTTCAGAGTGAGTTGATGGGACCCATGGCTTCTGAGGAAAGAAAACAAGCTTCTGGCACCCACTTCTTGGAAGGGGGCTGGGCAGTGCCATCCTGCAGGTGACCAGAGCAGCTGGCTTGCAGCCTGATTGACTTGGGTTCTGAGCGGGAGTAGGCCAGCAGGTGGCATAGTGTGAGAGCACCCTGTCCCGAAGTGCTGCCACCTGGGGGCCTAGCCTTACGAGGCTTTTCAGGAGAATGGACCTTCACTTGTATCTGGCTCGATGGGTGTGCCTTTCTCCAGCCTGGTCTCCTGCCTACCCTTCCCTCTCTGGCCGTCATGCCTTGTGGCGTGGAGCTGGAGGAGATAGTGAGCAGCAGATGAGTTGGACAGAGAGAAAAGCCTTATGGGGAATAAATGTTAAGGTTATTGAGAAACCCCAAATCCTAAAATTAGTGGACTTTGAGACCACAAAGCCATCGCAGTCTTTCAGGAGACTCTCAGTGGGCTAGCTGTGGAGGAGATTCAGCCCAGCCTCTCCTCTCTAACTTACCCCATCATGGTTGATCATGGCATAAGGCAGCTGCTGGGGGAGAACTGGGTCTATTCAAGGCATCTTGAGACATACTGCCTGGAGGTGATGGAGAAGAAGAATCCGTGCACATGGTGATGGAAGGTTGTTGCCTTGGTGTGTGCTTCACCTCATGGTCAATCTAGTTTGTCTGTCTGTTTGTTTAGAGAGTCACCAGTGGCCCGAGCCCTCCTCACCAGCCTCCTTCCTGTATTTCGTCAGGTCCCTTCTCAGTACTGTACTGGCTCAGTGCATCAGGAATGGGTGTGTGTGTGTGGGTGTGAGTGCGAGTGTGGGTGTGGATGTGCCAATAAACAACCTGATTTTAAGACAACATCCAGATGGCCTCTTGTCTTTTGTGTTTGTTGTTTTAATGTCACGCTCCCCTGACACAGCTCTGAGAGATGTTGTATTCTGAGAAGTAAATGTCAGAGCTTTCAGAAAAGCTGTGGTTCATAACTTTATATTTACTTCTCTTACTGAGATTGGTGGGGAGGTTCATGTTTGGATTGCTGGTGCTGAGGGAGTAGAGGAAGAAATGAAGATGTAAGGAGCCCTGACCACTAGACTTGATTTCTTTCCTCCACTCTTCTGGTCATGCTTACCTGCTCATGGAGTAGTTACTCCTGGGCATACATTATTACACTGTTTTAACTTTTTTAAAAACACTGATTATATTACTCATAATGTGCAGCCATCAAGCTCACACTCTTTCAGCCGCTTCCCACCATATCCAGATCAGTGGTCCAACTCCTCCATCTGGTGTAAAAAGCCATTCACAACTTGTCTCCTGCTTCTCACCACTCAAGCCTGCCTAACTCAGAAACACGGTTTCTAGCCAGACCCACCACCTGGGCTCCTTCCTTCCTTGCCTTTGCAGCTGTTAATCCTCAAGACCCAATGCAGACATCACCCGGGAGGTGTTCCCCACCCTCCCCAGCGGGATCAGAAAACAGCATCCCCTCTGCCCCTAGCACTTCGCACACTCAGATACTGTGGACAGTCTCCTTGTGTGTTTCTCATGCTGGGCTGCGAGGAATCCTGAAAGGTTAGTCTTGAAGAGCTGCGTATCCCTAGCGGTACATACTCAAATGAGGGAATAGACAGACCATCCTCTCTGAGGATTTTATAAGGATTATTATTGGTAAGACAGCTCAGGTGTGCAGTCCATAGAGTGTTGTGCTGCTAACTCAGAGGCCACACAGCAATCTCCCCTTTCAGCCTCTGGAAACTCACTCAAGGCTCAGCTATGAGTCAATTACGACTCAACAGCAACAAGGAAGAGATTACTAAGAACTAAAGGTTACTGAGTACTCCTGGGTGCCGTGAGGCCTAGGGAGGTCTGCAGGGGGTTGTACTGCTCACATAGAAACGCACCTCTGATGGTTTCAATCCACTAGTGGCTCTGAGGGAGTCTCCTCCCATGTGATTTACAGCCTTGGAAGTCCACTAGAGTGTCTTCTATGAGTTAGTTGATGGCAAAAAGTTTTGAGACTATGTGCCAGATGCTGTTTCGAGCATCTAAGATACAACAGATGAATACATTTTTTTAATCCTCATAATAATCTTGTGATGTATTATGATCACTGTGTTGAAGGGACCAGAAATGTTAAAAGCAATATGGGCCTCAAACCGGAATCTTTCCGACTACAGCACCATGTCCTTAACTATGGCACCTGTTGCCTTTGCACTGATTCTTGGCTCATAGCGGCAACCTGACGTGTGTCAGAGTAGAACTCTGTGCCATAGGGTTTTCAGTAGCTGATATTTGGAAATACATCACCAGGTCTTATTAATAAGGCAGTCTAGGTGGACTTGAACCACCTGTTAAGTTAGCAGACTTAAGGAAGAAATCAGAATGAGAGAACGCTTAATGCGGCTTTATTAAAGGCGGGGAACGGGGGAACTCATTCTGGAGTTTCTCGTTCTGGAGATACAGGATGGGGAAGTCACAATGTGAACTTATTGGGGAGGACTTTTATAACAGAGTCTTTAGAGAGGGATATTCTACGCTGATTTACGATCCTGCCAGCTCAGCCGGGCAGGAAAGGCGGTTTGCTCTTCTTAGCAGCAGCAGGCAAGGTCGTCAGCATTTGAGTTCTGAATTCTTCATTCTTCTCTTTGGCCCCCTTTGCCCAGACTTACCACCACCAACCTTTCACTTAGCAGCGGAATACTTATCCATTTGTTCTACCCAAGGAACCCAGCTGTCCAACTACTATGGGATTATGAAAACCACTGGCCTGGTGTCTGGCATAGCATGCTCCACAAGTGTTACCTCTCTTTTAAGTGAACTCAAGCCCCTGCCACATTCCAGCTCCCATTTCCAAACTTCTATTGGTAGTACTCATATCCTGCTTGGCTCCTGTAACTCTTCATGGGGCCAAGTTTCTCCTGCTCACCTAAATAAGGAACTCTCTGAGGATTATCAGTAGTGCTCCAGACCCTGATGGAAGGACCCACAGGCATAGAACAGAGAATGGAAGCTAGATGAAGCAGCTTGAATATCACCAGAGGAGAGCAACAGAGATGAGGGAAGATGCTGATTGAATGCCTAAAAGCCTCTCCACCCACTACCAGCTCCCGTGAGCAAAGGTAGAATTGAAAAGCCATGGTGGCCAGCTGGCTGCAGGAATGAAACCTGAAGGAGTCCAGGAAAATGATTTCCCAGCACTGCCATCCTCCAGGGTGGGGAGCAAAGGGACAGGCTTCCTTGGAAGTAGGAGTTTGGTTTTAAACATGCCTACCTTGGTATGAGACCCTCCAAAAACATGTTTCTGTTAGCATTTGTAGAAAAGAAGGATCTAGGTTTCTGTCTCCTTTGCTTGTTCAAAGGAACGGTTTCAATACAGTGAGAGGCAGTAGTCTGGGCTCTGCATGTCTGGTTGCAGGTGAGGGAGGGCAGAGGGAATTAGGCACAGCTAGAATCACCATGGAGTGGGGATCTGGGGCTCTTGCAGTGCCCTGGCTGTGCTTCCTGAGCCAAGACCCCAGCTCAACCCAGAGCCACCTCCCTGTGCTCTGCCCCAGCCTGAAGCTGCTTGAGAAGCCCAGGAAGTCCAAGGCATGTGATGCTGAGGCATATACCTGAGCTTGTGAACACCTCTATTGTTACTCTCACTGCCTGCCCTCCCTCCCCCACAGCTGATCCAACCACCTGCTGTATCTGCAGCCCCTAAATAGAGTCCCCCCCATATGCCAAATAAATTGCTTTGCGAAGTTAGATACCCAGGGATGTTTATTGGAATGCAACGAATGGTACTTTAAGCATTCTGCAATTCGTACTAATTATCTAGACACTCTAGGCAGTTCCTGTTTATACTCTAGAAATTGGCATGCAAATTTCAAGTAATTCTTCTCTTTTCATTCACATGGATTCCCTGAAGTTCATTATTAGGCAACATTTGATTAACTCAGTTTGATTTATTGCAGGTGCTTTCTTCAAGAAAGGCCACATTTGAGCTGATTTCCCTCAAGAAACAATCCCACTAATTGGAGTCTTATCTGGTATTCCATGGTGCAGGCTGGGCCTTTGCCATTTGAAGCAAATCCTTGTGCTTTGGTGACATTGGCTTATCCTTTGAAATAATGAGTGAGCTGGGCTCCTGCATGGCAAGGTTTTCCATCTACACCTGTGAAATCTCCCAACAAATGATTTCTCCTGGAAAGACTTTAAAACTGGAAAAGTGGTTGATGACCACTCTCAATAGCAGTAGTGAACTCTTAACTCATAGCCATTGCTAAGGTCTGTTTGTTCTTCCCAAAATATGAATGCAACCTCATTATGTAATTGGCATAACTTAAGGAGAAGGGT